AAGCAGATTGTTAGAGTGAGCCCCCTTCCTCTCTCCAGCAGTTCCGCAGTGGTAATGGTATGGGGAGCCTCAGTGGCCCTTTTTGGTTGAATGTATTGCTGAAGTTTTGAATAATCTATTTTTGGGAAATAGTGATCATCATCATCATCTGCCATTAGTGAGGGGATGAAAACATATTAGCTGCTTTGTATGTTACAGGAATCTCATACAGGAAGATTGAAAGAATGGATTTATGGGGTGTAATTTAATGATGCTTGACTATTTTTACTTTTTCTTTTGCCTTTTATCCTGATTCCGTTGCCTTACCGAGATCAGATAAACTCTAGGGTGGATTGTGGTAACCCAATGAGAAGTATTACCATGCACAGCAGTAAGAAGGTTTGTGCAAAGGGATGATACAGCAGACTCCTTTACCCCTGGAAGAATTAAATGATGTGTAAGATCTCTGTAGAGGTGACAGATACTAGAATTTTTATATCTTCATATATGATAGTCTAAACAGTTGTCTGGATAGTAATTTATTTGTGTGTAAAACAAGAAAGGCTGCGATAAACTTCCCAGGGCTACAGTTTGTCTTGTAGAATAGTTAAGACTGTATAAAGGAACAAAAGAGCAATTATGAGCTACGAATCCTTTGAAGACTTTGAATCAGTGGAGTCCTTAGCAAGTCCTTGATAGAACTGTGCTGTTCATCTTTCACACACAACTAAGAGGAAGTCTGCTGAACTTCACAGTCTTACTAGAATTTAAAGTCCTCACTGATACTCTTGTCTCTTTTGCTTTTTAGTAATGAAGACTTGGTGTGTACCAAATGCACTGCACAATCCTTAGAAAATCCTTGATGACATCTGAACTTTAGGCATCTGACTTCAGGTTTTAAATTATTTGAATAATACGAGAAAACACCCAACCCCCCAAAAACCCCAAGCAAAAAACAAGCACCCAACAAACAAACGGAACCCCCAAACGCCACATTTCTGGCTCCTCTAAATGGTTCTACAGAAAGTTAGAGGTCTATGATCAGAATAGTAACTCTGGAATAGAATCCCATAGCTGTCTTTTGATCAAGGATGTCTTTTGCGTGGGGAGCTAGTGTGGTGGTTTGGTCCTGGCCAGGTGCCCACCCAAGTCACTCTATCTCTCTCACCCCCCTCAGCTGGACAGGGGAGAGAGGATATAACAACAGGCACGTGGGTCAGATAAAGACAGTTTAATGAAGCAAAAGCAAAACAAAAGACCTTATTCTCTCCTTCCCATCAGCAGGTGATGTCCAGCCACTTTCTGGGAAGTAGGGTTCTGGTACGTGTTGGTCCGGACGACAAATGTGAAATGAATGTCCCCCCCTTCTTCCTGTTTTCCCCAGCTTATATTGCTGAGCAGACGTCATGTGGTATGGAATATCCCTTTGGACAGTCTGGGTCAGTTGTCCTGGTTATATCCCATCCCAAGTTTTACCCACCCCCAGCCTACTGGGGAAATGTTGGGGAAACAGCCTTGGTGCTGTGTGAGCCCTACTCAGTAGTAGTCAAAACACTGATGTGTTATCTAGCTACCACAGCACAGCACGGTGAGGGCTGCATCTCAGGCAGACCCATTACAGCTAGAGGCGACAGGACATTGTAGATGAAGATTGAGGACTGATGTGCTTGAATTCCTCTTTCTTGACTGAAGGTTTTAAATATAAAACCTATATAAACTTAATAAAGATCTGTATTTCTTTACCATGCAAATTGTGATAGTCCAATCCCAATAAAGAAGCGATTCTCTGTTGATTTTGTTGTCAGCCATCTTTTAAAGTGCTCAGGTTTTACTTACGTTTTTTGTTTTTGGTTGTTTTTTTTTTTTTTAGGGGATTTACCTTCACAGTACCAGAATTAAATTAACTTTCAGTTGGTGATGAAGGCTTTAGGAAATAGAGAAGCTGTATATTTGAGAAGTTTTTAAGTGCATTTTCTTCTAGATGTCCAATTCTTTTTCATGTTTTGCCTTATATGCTTCCCTGCGGTGACAGTAATTTTCTTCAAAAGGATCAAATAGTCATTCCTAGAAACAAAAGAGTCATTAACCTTAACATGGTCGCAATAATCATATTTTATATCAAGTAAATATTTATTGTATGCAGAAAAAAAAAGAAGTACTTTCACGCATCTTACTGTCTTTTTTGTTTGATTTCAAATGTTCTTCATTACTTGAACAAACAGCTTTTTTAGGATTTGGAGAAGTACAGTTTTGTCATCCAAAGGAATTTATTCCAAATTGCAACTGAATAGTTACAGTTAAGATTTACATACAAGTCTTTCAAATCTCTAAAGCATAGTGAATTCTTCTGAGACTTTTTTTAAACAGTACTAGGATTGTCAACCTGGGGTATCCCAGTTCTTGAATGAGATAGATATATCTATGTGTGTGTATTTATATAAAAACACTGACTTTGTCAGGTAAACAAACTGCTTCATGTAATTGAATTTTAAAAGATAACTGAACTTTTTAATCCTAAATATGAAAGAGAGGACTGTGCTAATTAGTATAGAAGTTCGGAAAACTAGTTCGGGCTACTCCTTTGTACAAGCTGGATTTATAAGCAAATAAACTAAGGCAAGGCAATTTATTATGAGATGAAACACAAAACATAGAGGACGGTAAGTAGAAAAATGGAAATGTGAATAAGCACTCTTTACAATGAGCAATGTATGTTTAATGTTAAAAGGCTTCTGTTTTATTCAGTACAAGCCTGCATTGATAAGGGCAGCCAACTCTTAAATAATACTTAAGAGCAGTATTGAAGAGAATGTATGTTGGAAATGTGAGTTACAGAGAAAGGTTACGTTGTCATGGAAAAAAACGAGTGCACTTTTTGGGAGGTCTCCCTGGTTTCTGGATTAACATTCTGATAATCTGTTACAGTGTTAAACGAAGCATGATCTTTTATTTGATTTCTGTTGTGAATAAATCACAGGTTTAAGGTTATCTGATAATGTTTTTGATATTTGAAATGTCTTTGAAAGACTGGTAGTTTCAGAGGTGATTTTAAAAAAAAAAAAGAGCATATTTCCTCTGAATTAAGGTGAGGGGAATGGAGTCTTACTTCATTGCATGTAGCTCTCCCCTTCTTGCAGTTTCTCCATCCCGTTTTCTTCCCTGTCACCTACTCGGATAAACAGCAAATTCTCTTAGTTCCATCAGGCTTTATTCTCATTTGAGTATTTCTGATCTTTTTATTTTTCTGATCCATGTTCTTTGGGTGCCAATAACTGACAGAGGTACACTCAAGATTACACTTCGTGCCTTTTTCCAAAAGCCACACCAGGATTTGGGGAAGTAGAAGGGGTTGGGACTTGCCATCCTTGGGATACCTTGAATTATCCTAGATGAGCTAAGTGTCAAAGATGGTGCTCTTTGTACTGGGGATCAGATCCTTGAGAATGCTGAGAATTGTGGTGATCTGAAGTAGACCACTTTCAGTTCTTTTGTTTCCATTTTTTTCCAGAGGCAGTAAGATCAAGACCAAATACATGAAATTACATATATTTTCTCATGATCATTAGTTTGCTTTATTGGTCACATCAATTCACTTAACATTCTAGTGAAGAAACTGGCTTGGATGAGCATACACTCTGCTGGATAGAACACTGGCTGGACAGCTGGGCCCAGACAGTGGTGATCAATGGAGTTAAATCCAGCTGGTCGCAAGTGATGTTCTGCCCGGGTCAGTGCTAGCGCCACTTCTGCTTAACATATTTATCAGTGATCTTGACAAAGGGGTAGAATGCACCCATAGTAAGTTTGCAGGCAACACCAATTTGGGTGGGAGTATTGATCTGCTTGAGGGTAGGGAGGCTCTACAGAGGGACTTGGACAGGCTGGATCAATGGGCCGAGGCTAACTGTGCTTCAACAAGGCCAAGTGCCAGGTCCTGCACTTGGGCCACAACAACTCCATGCAGCGCTACAGACTTGGGGTAGAGTGACTGGAAAGCTGTCCAGCAGAGAAGGACCTGGGGGTACTGATTGACAAGCAGCTGAACGTGAGCTGGCAGCGTGCCCAGGGGACCAAAAAAGCCAGTGGCATCCTGGCTTGTATTAGGAATAGTGTGGCCAGCAGGCGTAGAGGGGTGATCATGCCTGTGTACTCGGCACTGGTGAGGCCACACCTCGAGTACTGTGTTCAATTTTGGGCACCTCACTACAGGAAAGACATCAAGGTGCTGGAGAGAGTGCAGAGAAGGGAAACAAAGCTGGTGAAAGGCCTAGAGAATAAGTCTTCTGAAGAGTGGCTGAGGGAGCTGGGGCTATTTAGTCTTAAGGCTGAGGGGAGACCTTATTGCTGCCTGAGAGGACATTGTAGAGAGGCAGGGGGCGGGGCCCTTTTACCAGGATAGAACAAGAGGGAACAGACTCAAGCTGCACCAGGGTAGGTTTAGGCCTGACATTAGGAAAAATTTTTTCATTGACATGGTTGTCAGACATTGGAATAGGCTGCTCAGGGAGGTGGTTGATGCACCATCCCTTAATGTGTTTAAAGGTCGTTTAGATGTGGTGCTTGGAGATATGGTTTAGGGATGTACTTGCTAGAGCAGGGTTGATGGTTGGACTCAATGATGTCAAAGGTCTTTTCCAACCTGAATGATTCTATGATCAGTGTTCAGCATTGCTGAGAAGTTCCCCTCAGCTGCAAAGGGGCAACTGCAGAGCACACCAGTGTATGGGCATCAGAGAGCGTGTTGTCTGTCAGAGGTTGCTTTGGTATATTCCTGGTTCTCTGTCTTATGTCTGGAAGTACAAAATTAAGCTATTGAAACCTTCCCCTTGTTTTTTGCTCTTTGAGATTTTATTTCTTTAAAACAAAGTTTATTTACCTATTGTATTTCAGGTGAAGTATCTAAAAAAAACCTGGTCTAGATGGGAGTGGTGAAGAAGGAGGAAATTCTGAGTTCCTCCCATATCTGTATCTGTGAATCCTCCTGTTGATTTAGTATTCACTCTGGTCATGCTTTTTTGCAGCAGCAGATAATGGAGGGACTGCATCTGGTGGCGCATCAGCAATTCCTCCCAGCAATCCTGCTGGGAATTCCAAGTCAGCAGCAAGGAACCTGGGTTCCTCGGCTGGAGAGAAGGAGGAAGGAAAGAAGGTCAGACGGCAGTGGGAATCATGGAGCACAGAGGACAAAAACACTTTCTTCGAGGGACTGTATGAGGTACATGTAGGGGAAAATAACAAGCTTAGATGGCTTTGTTTATCTGGATGTTCCTCAAGAAGGTTGATTCAGTTGAGATTTGCAGGAGCAAGATGCATACATACACATATGCATTTGTTTGTCTATGCGGTTCGCTGTAAACCAGCTGTCAATCAAGCCGTGTTTCAAAAGTGTCAAGCTTTTTTGTGTGTTTTGAAATACACAGGAAATATTTGTGAGTTTTATTCATGAATGTTTATAATTTCAATTATGGTTCTGTTTCAAATGAGAAAGAAATAAGTAGTGTCCCCATCTCAGCTTTCAAAAGCAACACACTTATGCTGTAATATTATCAAATAAGAAAATATGTTCTAGTAAGAATTGCGGACACTGTGTTCAGTCTTTGACCATGAAAAGGGTTGAGCCAGTTCAAGTACTAGGGCTGAGAGACAAAGTTAGATCATCTTATCTTTTACCTCCTGTGATGTATTCTTAGTTGTCCTGTTCCTGTGATTATTTTAAGAGCACATCTGTTGTGAAAATACATGCTAAAGGTGAAAACGGAAGTGGTGGTGGGTTTTTCTTACATGTGTGCATCTTTTTGAAAATTTTTTTTTTAGTGGTAGGCATGATTCACGTGTATATGTTTTGTGGACAAAATGAATGCTTAAACACTGTTTTCTTTTTTTAACTCCTCTGACTTGCAGGAATATTCCTGGGAATGATGTAGTTTTTAAGTGCCTTCACCACTCAAAGAAAAGTTGGATTTTTTCTGAATGCTGAGGGAAAAGTTCAAAAATTTGCTGTAGGATGGATTTGGGACTCAGTTTCCGTTGATTTTGTGTCACTGCCTTTCAAAAGAGGTTTTCACATTTTGTATTTAGATTAGTTCCTACCTTTTTTGAATACCATGAAATTTTGTGGTAGCAGGAGTTCAGTGATAATCTGTATAAAATTAAGTTTTCTTCTTTTGAACTCCAGGGATTTTGTAGGCATTAGCTAGTTTTAAAGGGACACTTAGGTGCCTCATTTTTATTTTTACCCTGAGAATAAGCTTCTGAACAACATACAGTGTAAAAATGTGTTTTCTGTAAGAAAGGGGTTTTATTATTTTTTTAAATATAGTATTTTCCTTCATTATTTGAAACTCAAATTCTGTACTTCTAATAACCAGAACATGAAATTTACTCTAAATAGAAGTGAATCTTTTTGTTCACCCTAGTCATAAATGGAGGTAGGAGGGAGAGGGGGGAAAAATGCAGAGGAAAGTAAAGAAAGTTAAGTGAGAAAATCGGTACTTTCAATTCTGCGCATTTATGAGTAAAGTGTTTTTTTAAAAAGTTTGCTAGCAACTTACTTACAATTTTTTTTTTGAAACAGTTCAAGAAATCAGAAAGTAATTTATTTGGCATCTATAATGCATTTTATATAAAATAAAGGAAACCGGTGTCATTCTTTTGCTGTTGAGTTATGATGCCCAAGAATTTTGTTTATGACCATTGAAATGTAATTTCCCACAAAGAACCCCGAAGTCCCTCATGCTGTTTGAGTTGTCTTGTGACAAGAAAGAAGTTTGAGTTTGAGTATCTGCATTTGGTTTATTTTTCAGCATGGGAAAGACTTTGAAGCAATCCAGAACAACATTGCCCTGAAATACAAGAAGAAAGGCAAACCAGCAAGCATGGTGAAGAATAAGGAACAGGTCCGCCATTTCTACTACCGCACCTGGCACAAGATCTCCAAGTACATTGACTTTGATAATGGTTAGTATGCAAAGAAATGGGTTTGTGTAGAGCTCACAGTCTTGTGAGGGTTGGAGTCCTGCCTTTTAGTGCCATCGTGGAGGGCAGGAATGGTGGAGACGAGAAAAATAAATACTGAAGAGGTTGTCTGTGAACTTGTGTTATTTTTGTTAGCATGGGCACACTGAGGTTCATGGGTTTTTGAAAAATAATTCTCAAAAAATGGTATTTATATCACTGCTTTCATATGAATTTGCCACACCATAATAGATGCTGATCCTACTATTAATCCTGGAGAAAAGCCAGGTTCAAGGAAACATTATTCTATTCTCAGGAACACACCTTTGGACAGTTGCCTACATGTTAGTCAGGCATGAATTCATCTGGCAAATTGACCCCAGCACTACTTCAACAGTTCTTGGGGGAAGGTAGAAATAAATAAAGAGCCCGATTGCTCACACTTTAAATAAGCCTAAAATCATATCATCGATTCAGCAGCTTAGGATTCCCAGTGCCATGTTCCCCTCTCCCCGTTCTTTTCCCTCGGCTTGTTGGATGAAAAGAAAATTGGAAAGTCGTATAAACTGCTAGTGTGTTTTTTAACAATAATAGTAATATATCATAGAATCACAGAATGGTTTGGGTTGGAAGGGACCTTAAAGATCATCAAGTTCAAACCCCCCTGTCATGGACAGGGACACCTTCCACTAGACCAGGTTGCTCCCAACCCCATCCAGCCTGGCCTTGAGCACTGCCAGGGAGGGAGCATCCACAACTACTCTGGGCAATCTCTTCCAGTGCTTCACCACCGTCACAGTGAAGAACTTCCTAATATCTAATCTAAATCTGCCCTCTTTCAGTTTGAAACCGCTACCCCTTGTCCTAGCACTACCCTCCGTGATAAAGGGTCCCTCCCCACCCTTCGCATAGGCTCCCTTTCAGCACTGGAAGGCCGCTCTATGGTCTCCCCGGAGCCGTCTCTTCTCCAGGCTGAGCAACCCCAACTCTCTCATATCATCACAACTGGTTTTTATCAAACACGTGCTAGTCAGTAATGGCCAGTGAGAATTCAAGTCAATTTGTGGGTAGGCTAATCTGAATAGCGAGTTGAAGAAATCTATTTCAGAGTGGACAGATTTTACTAAGACCCTGTTCTTTTGCCTTTTTTAAGGTATAAAGAATGTCAGTTCTCCCATTAGCTTGTAGACTAAGTAAAAGTCTATGGGGCTTGTTTGGCCATCTGATGCTATATTTGAAGTTGCATAAATCATGGCAGTTCCATGGTGGTTGAATTTTTTGGTCTTTAAACAACTCTCTTTAACATCAGTGAAAATTTGAATATTAAATTCATCTATAGAATTTGTGGTCAGAGCCTCTGAAATTAAAAATAACACATTAATGGGAAATGGATATGACTAGAAAAAAGCTGAAGGAGTGCAAAGATAGTGTACGGTATAGACTCTCTATGAAATTGTTTTGTCTGTTCCTGAGGTTAGGTTATCTAAAGGAGGACTTACACATCTCAAACACCTGTCATAAGGTGTATTTTTTAGTTCTTTTTTCAAAACGTCAGCGTTTTAAGATGAAACAAACCATTAGTATTTTATTTAAAAACAAATGTTACAGCAAACACAGTATGGAAGAACTTTTCCAAAAAAAAAAAAAAAAAAGTCGTGTAGAAACTTAATCTGTTTCCTGGATAACATGAAGTTCTATTTCTATACCTATACGGTCTGGCATCTCATTGGCTGAAGGAATTTAAGAATTAGCGTAGTAGTTTGATTAGCTTTAGTATGGGTAGAAATAGGGGTGCCTGGATTTTGAGATTTAATGAGTCTTCAGGTCAAAGAGATCTGAATTCTTGATGAATAGTCAAGAATAAATATTTTTATCTGACTTGTAAACCACAAGACTGTCTTTCCTTGCTGTCATAGATACTTAGATCTGTCAGCATTAATAATGTCCATATTGTGTGTTGATAAGAAATGAGGCAAAAACCCTTGTAAAGTTGAATACAATGTGTGCAATTCTTCATATAAAAATTTTGAATCTAGAATTTGCATTAAATCTCCGAGGTGCATTAGTGTGCACAGAAGACATTCTCCGTCTTTTCGAAAATTCAGACCTACTTCTTAGTTTTTGTATAAGAAAGAGTTCTGTGTGCATCTTCTTGGAGGCATCTGGACATTTCCTTTAGAAATTGTAAACAGTTAAAGGATACTAGAGTTAGCTTTGTTATGAATTATCTTTATTTTGCATATTGAGCTGTTGCATGTTTGTTTAAATTCTGTGGAAGCTGCTTTGTTTTTTCTGTAATCTAAAAAATGTTGCATTTCTCAGCTATTTAAGTCACCACAAGGAAATTGGTGAACCCATCTCATTATAGTGTTTCTTGAAACAGAACTTAGTCTTGCCTTCGATGAGATGTTTGTCTCACTATTGAAAATACAAATCTTATTTTCAGTGTTGAAATGAGTATCTGCAGTCTGCGTCTCACACCTTTTCTGCTTTTCAGTGTTTTCTCAAGGGCTGAAAAAATCCTCCCTGGAGCTTTATGGCTTAATCTGCTATGGGGAACTAAGGAAAAAGATCGGGGGATGTGAGTATGAATGACTTAAAACTATTTTTATGTGGTAGAATCAGAAGGGTCTACCCTTGACGTTGGCAATGTCTAGTACAGTTTCACTTTTGAGTTACTCAGAATTTGTGTTTATTGCTTTCTGTTGCCGTAATCTGGTATAATTTTTTTTTAAAATGTGTTTTTATTTTTAAAGACAATCTTAGACCCCTTTGACAGATATCTTTAGCTTTTGCTATCTGTGGAATGCAGTGCATGTAATATCCACAGATGACCAGTAAATGTATATGCATCTTAAATTATCTGTCTGGTTTATTATTCTTGAAAACTAAGCAATTAAATGTGTAAATTCTATCATTTGCACCCAAAATTATTTCTGCCTGTGCAACCAAAATCTATTAGAGAGTAGCATAGGGGAAAGGGACCTGGGGGTCCTGGTGGGCAGCAGGATGACCATGAGCCAGCAACGTGCCCTCGTGGCCAGGAAGGCCAATGGCATCCTGGGGTGTATTAGAAGGGCTGTGGTCAGTAGGTCGAGAGAGGTTCTCCTCCTCCTCTCCTCTGCCCTGGTGAGACCGCATCTGGAATATCGTGTTCAGTTCTGGGCCCCTCAGGTCAAGAAGGACAGGGAACTGCTGGAAAGAGTCCAGTGCAGAGCCACAAAGGTGATGAAGGGGGTGGAACATCTCCCTTGAGATGAAAGGCTGAGGGAGCTGGGTCTCCTTAGCTTGGAGAAAAGGAGACTGAGGGGTGACCCATTAATGTTCAGAAATACATAAAGGGCGAGTGTCAGGAGGATGGAGCCGGGCTTTTCTTGGTGATGACCAGTGACAGGACAAGGGGCAATGGGTGCAAGCTGGAGTGCAGGAGTTTCCACATGAACATAAGGAAAAACTTTTTCCCTGTGAGGGTGGCAGAGCCCTGGAACAGGCTGCCCAGAGAGGTTGTGGAGTCTGCTTCTCTGGAGACATTCGAAGGCCACTAAGGTCTCCCCGGAGCCTTCTCTTCTCCAGGCTGAACAACCCCAACTCTCTCAGCCTGTCCTCATAGGGGAGGTGCTCCAGCCCCTGATCATCTTCATGACCTCTGGACCCGCTCGAGCAGGTCCATGGTTTTCCTGTGCTGGGGGCCCCAGAGCAGGATGCAGCACTGCAGGTGGGGTCTCACCAGAGCAGAGGGGGAGAGTCACCTCCCTTGACCTGCTGGCCATGCTGCATTTGATGCAGCCCAGGATACGGTTCCCATGGTCTTTATGGCTTCCAGACTAGAGAGCGCTCTAATGTGGCTAGCTTGGAGAATGGGCAGAGGACCATGCACTCTAAATGCTGCTCAATGCACGTATACCTTCTCATCTGTGTATTTTTTTCATGTGTCACCAAGCTTTTTGTAAAGTCAGTGTTACATCATAGCGCATCTTCTACATGTTTCGTTTAATTTGTGAGACATGGCAAATCATTAAAGTACTTTCACTTCTTTGTAAAGTCGTACTAGTTGCAAAGTGAAAAAGACAAGAAAGCTTTCATGAGTGGACATGTACAATTCCTAATAGAATCATGGTATTTTGGCAGATATTTTGCTATTTTATTTCCTCACCTGGGATTTCGTGAACAAGACTGTTGTGAATGTTCATACTGACTTTATTCTGTTTGGTCAAAGATCTCCAGTGTGTTAATTCATCTTGGAGAAGCAATTTTGAACTGTTACGTGACAAAGAAGGTACAGAGGCAAGACAGATTGCATTGTCAGTAGAAATCAGTATGAGCGTTTCTTCCTTATATCCACGTCTTTTCTTAAAAGCATCAACAGACCCTCCTTGCTATGACTGGGAATAAGATTTCACACAGTCACCATGGCAATGCACGCATACTCTGTGCTTCTGTCTTTTTATAACTTTGGTATTTGGTTATGTATTTTACTCACTGTCACTTGGAAAATTCTAGTCTCCAAGACCAAATGGGCTTAAGCTGCAAGCTTCTACACCCAGTTTATGAGAGGTCTGCTCTGCAGCTGGTGAAAGTAGTTTCTTTCTCTCTCTTTTTTTTTTTTTTTCTTTGTTGTTGTTTTTTTTTTCTTCTTGTTCTGTTCACCCAGTCCCATCTTCCCAGAAGTTGAGGTGACTTGCACAGAGCTGTTGAGACACGAAAGCATATCAGGAATACTTTCAGCATTGCCAGAAGGAGGTTAATTGTTCAGTAAATAGATCTGGGCCTGACTATCATGGGGAATATAAATCAAGTTACCATAATGTCCATTTAAAAATGTGCTGTATAATGCGTAGAAGAAAAGTGTGGATTCTATGTGAATTTTATTATTTTTATTTACTTTTTTTATTACATTCAGCGCTGTAGGGCTTCATGCTCTTTCATTATGCTGTGCTGCCTTAGCAACAGAGATTGAGCAGGAAGGTGAGGAAGCTTTTCTTTTTAATACCACAGAGTCAGATTAACACCCAGGAATCCAAGATGAGTGTGGCACCTAAACTAGGTTCATTTAATCCTTGAGTAAAATTTAATTTTCATGGCAAGGATCGGGTAAAGCTTGCACATTGTGAAAGTAGAAACTTTTCAGAAAGGGTATGTTATAGCACATCTATGCACATTAATCCTAACTGAGAATAAAATGTAATAGCTTTGAAAACTGAACAGGACACATAAAGTGATATAGTCATGACCTTTTTTTATCCTAATTCACTATTATCCCATTTCATGTAAAGGTATGGATGACAAGAATGCAGCTAAACTCAATGAGCTCATTCAAGCCGGGTAAGTAGGAACTTATTCCTGAAACTCTTAGAACTGTGTTTAGCAGCTTGATTGTTGAATTGGTCATACAGAGTCTAGGGGGCATTTCTTACTGTTTTAGAGCTGCATTTTGACATTTTCCATTCTTAGGTTGTTTTGGATGGGATTTTTCCTCCCCTTTTCCGTGAAGCCATTAATTGTTATTAGTAAGAAATGATGGGTGAAGTTTAAGAAGGTAGTGAAATGAGAATTCTTTACAGAAGTTACAGCATTATAACTGTGTTGATTCACTATAGGGAAAATAGAATCATAGAATCCTTTAGGTTGGAAAAGACCTTTAAAATCATTGAGTCCAATTGTTAACCCAGCACTACCAAGTCCACCACTAAACCCTGTCCCTAAGCACCACATCTGCACGTCCTTTAAATACCTCTGAGGATGGTGACTCCACCACTTCCCTGGGCAGCCTGTTCCAGGGCTTGATGACCCTTTTGGTGACGACATTTTTCCTAATATCCAATGTAAGCCTCCTCTGGTGCAACTTGAGGCCATTTCCTCTTGTCCTGTCGCTGGTTGCTTGGGAGAAGAGACTGACCCCCACCTCGCTACAGCCTCCTTTCAGGTGGTTGCAGAGCGATAAGGTCTGCCCTCAGCCTCCTCTTCTTCAGACTGAACAGCCCCGTTTCCCTCAGCCGCTCCTCATAGGACTTGTGCTCCAGACCCTTCACCAGTTTTGTTGCCCTTTGGGCACACTCCAGCACCTCCGTGTCTTTCTTGTAGTGAGAGCTTATCTCCAGACAGTTCTGCCATCAGTGCTCACGAGTCCTGACTTTCAGACCTGAAACGACACTTCTGGTACACTGTAGGCCTCAGTCATCCAGTTGCTTCTACTTGACTTTAAGAATGAGTATTCTCTTTTAATTTAAGAAGTGGGATTTGGGGGTTTAGTCTAGGCAATGTACTTTTAGAATACAGAAGGGATTAGAAGTTGCTGTGCTATTAGAAATGAGGGAATACCTGATATATTTGTATGTAAAATTTTCTGAAGTAGTCTTGCTTTTAGAATTTGTGTATTCTGAAGTGAAATGTCTTCCTAAGGATATTCTTTTAAGGAGTGTAATCATTAAGCAGGCATCACTCAGAAGGCATTGGTTTGTCCTAATCGTGTCTTTAAAAGTGATTTGAAAATAGTGTTATTTTCTGTTACAGATCCCTTTTTACTTTTGGCATTAGTGCTTTTAGGGTGCTTTGTTGCAGCAGACAAATTACTGAGGAAGTAAACTTTACTGTAAACAGGAGGAAGAGTTTGCCCACTCAGCAGCTGCTGACTTTTTGACTTTACCTTACATAAAACAGATACTTGTTGTTTCACCTTTCTGTTGTTTGCAAACTGAGTTTCCAAATGAGTTCCTTACAGTTTATTAATTAACCTTTCAGCTACTGGGAGATGCACTTTGTACAGTGTGCTGTTGTGTTGCAGGTGTTGAATGTGATTATTTATGAAATCACTTGTTCATTCTTTTGTTAACTATGAAGTTTGAAGAGAAATTGCTGTTTGGTTTGGGTTTTGTACAGTTAAGAAAATCCTAGCGGTAAGTTTTTGCACATAACAAAATAATTCTTAAAGCAAATTACTTCTTTAAATTGGAGTTAATAGTTAAAATGAGCCTGGGATGAGCCTTTTTTCCCTAGTGTCCTGAATATCTCTAGAGTTCGGGATATAGGCTGTTGTTTTGGTCTTTCTGTGTTGTACTGGAGAGCCTTTCTAATACTGTGTCATCCAAACAGACTAAACCATAATAAATGAGACTTTTAGCAAGCTGTAGCGTCAGTCTAGCACTTTGCATGGTTAAGGCCTTAGTTCTTCTAATTAATGGTTAATGAGGGCTAATGATTTATACAAAGTCTAAGTGTTTATTCTGTAGAAGCCAGTCTTGTAACAAACCATTTTGAGAACAGGAGTCCTTACATTTGAAAATATTAATGCTAATCTTCTAACTGAGAACTAGAGTGTACATAGTATTAAGATTCTTAGGCAGTTCAGAAATAGTTTCTCTTGCATAGGCTTTTTGTCTAGCAGATCATCATAGAATCACAGAATGGCTTGCATTGGAAGGGACCTCAAAGATCATCTGGTTCCAACCCCCCTGCCATTGCAGGGACACCTCCCGCTAGACCAGGTTGCTCAAGGCTCGCCTGGTCTTGAACACGGCCGGGGATGGAGCATCCACTGCTTCTCTGGGCAACCTGTGCCAGTGTCTCACCACCCTCGGGGTGAAGAACTTCTTCCTTGTAATGAGTCCAAACCTGCCCTCTCCCAGCTTCCAGCCATTACCCCTTGTCCTGTCACTGCAGGCCCTTGTAAAAAGTCCTTCCCAGCCTTCTTGTAGGCCCCCTTCAGGTACTGGAAGGCACCTGTAAGGTGTACCCGGCGCCTTTTCTTTTCCAGGCTGAACAAGCCCAACTCTCAACCTGTCCTCGTAGGAAAGGTATTCCAGCCCGCTGACCATCTTGGTAGCCCTCCTCTGGACTCGCTTCAACAGCTCCATGTCTTTCTTGTGTTGGGGGCTCCAGAGCTGGACGCAGTATTCCAGGTGGGGTCTCATGAGGGCAGAGCAGAGGGGCAGAATCCCCTCCCTCGACCTGCTGGGCACACTGCTTTTGATGCAGCCCAGGATGCGGTTGTCTTTCTGGACTGCAAGCGCACGCTGTTGGCTCATGTTCATCCTATCATCCACCAACACTCCCAAGTCCTCCCCACGACTGCTCTCAATCCACTTATCGCCCAGCCTGTATCTGTGCTTGGGATTGCCCCGACCCAGGTGCAGGACCTTGCACTTACCCTTGTTGAACTTCATGAGGCTGGCCTGGGCCCACCTCTCCAGCCTGTCAAGGTCCGTCTGGATGGCATCCCTTCCTTCCAATGTGTCGACCTCGCCACACAGCTTGATGTCATCGGCAGACTTGCTGATGGAAGACACATCTTTGCTTCCCTTTTTCTCCTGCGTCTCTTGCCCCATTTGGTGGGTGAACCTTGTCAGTCGAAAAGGAGCAAGCTGTGCAGGGAAACAATGTTCATGTTTTTGTCTTCATTACCACCTGTATGTCTACACAATCTGAATTAATCCCCTGCACGTATGGGGCAGCCTTATATCTCACACAAGCAAACGCATTGTGTATATCCAATTAGATTAAACTTTCCATCTTGCTCAGCGATGTTACAATTCTGTGATCCCCCTCTCGATTTCTAAACAGTTCTTTTTTTCAGTTCCTAACGTGTTTTTTTCAAGTCTGTTACTCCTCCTTTTCCTCTGAGTGCAATGCGCTCTGTGAGGCTTGTCACTATGTTGAAAGTCTTGAGTGAAAGTGAATCCAAAGTGATTAAAAATGGGGAGTGTGAACATGCATTATTCTGATGATCATCTTCTGAAGTGGGTAAACATTAGCCTCATTTAATTGGTAAGAAAGGTCAAGAGAGGCTAAGATTGTGAGGAGCTACCTGGCAGGTTATTTGCAGGATGGCTCTAGACCTTGAAGTTACACATTCTAATTCAGTGCTTATTTTGCTTATGTTGCACATCATCTCTGTTGTTCTGTAATAATGACATGGTATATGGCAAAACAAATGACCCTGTGAGGTGCTCATAAGAAAATGGTGTTTAAAATCTTCCTAGCTGAGCTTATAACCCAAGTCACAGACCTGAAAACGTAAATCAACTGGCAGTTTCAAGTAATGGCAAAAAATGTCCATTTGGTCATTGCAATTGGGGCCATTCACTGCTATATGTCTCTGTACTTGTCTTGTGAATTTCAGTAACGTGTAAAATCAGGCTAGACTATAGCCTTAGGTACAGTTGTAGTTGAATGAATTTGGATCTTCTAGAAAATAGATCAAAGTTTAGGTATTTATAAATGCAAGGGGAAGATAAGAATTGGTCTGTCAGCTTTTGTAACCGGTCCGAGCAGTTTAGCATACTGATGTCAACACTGGCCCACACAAGCTGCTTAAAGAAGTTTTTAGAATCACTAAGCAGGACAACTGTGAAACCAAAGTTCCCTTAGAAATTATAGATCTGAGTCACTTTCTGTCCAGTCCTTTGTCGCTAGTTTTTTATTACAGCAACGATATGTTGCTGGATTGTGTGATCAGGATATATAACAAGAAACAAAAATGTATGCCAGTATATCAGAACTGCTCAGGAACCCATTTAAATAAACCTAAACCAAAGCTTTTTTGTTTTGTTTCACTTTTAGAAGTGAAACGTATTTATTTAACTTAGGTTTTGCAACAATCTTTACATTTGAAGGAATACAAATATTTTCTGGATATCTTTGTAAATCTGTAGCATTTATGGATGAGGTAAAAAACCCAACCAACCAAAGAAAAAGAACCCCCACAACAAACATATAATTAAAGGAATGTCATAAATACGTAACAGTTAAAGCACAGTACTGCTCAGTGTCTGTTAGCACATGTGGTTTTGCCTCGCCAGCCTGAGAGGCTCTTAATATCACAAGTGAGAAAGACCTTTAAAGACAGAAACTTTTCACAGGTATTGATTGATCTGCCAGGTTCAGTTACTGACTGTGCTTTGTGTGGAGTGGGAGCAACCTGTCATTGCATTCGATTTCCTTGTAAAAGCCATTTGGTATGCCACAGGGGAGTTTGTAACTCCCTAAAAATCTTGATAATAAAATAGCAGTTCATCCTGGAAAAAATTGTATACAAAACTGATCTCTTTAATTAGGCAGAATATGCTGTTGCTGTCAAGTTACACTAGTAGTTCTTCCTGCGTATTCAGTAGAACAGCTTTTTTTTAAGAATTACCATCTTCTGTGTTTGGAAGCATCTAGGATCAAGAAGAGAAGGAAATAAGTATTTTTAAGCTAAGAGTAGTTCTGTTGCAGGCTGTCTCTTTTTTACTGTGCTTTTCTTTTAAATTGGTAGAACAAATCTTTTTCTAGCCTCCCAGCCATGGTTTTCAGTTAGGAAACTACAGTATCTAAATATATCTAATTTTATATTCGTCTAAAGAATAACTGATTATCAGACTCTCCCCAGATTGCTTGAAGCCCATCATACTTTATGGAACAGGGAATTAGGGGGATTATTCCTGACTCCCGAAGCAGAACACCTGAATCTAGAGAGCTGGGATGCTACTTCTAAAATGTATTATAGGGAACAATGAAAATAAAAGTATTGATTGCTGTAGTCATGGAAGAATATTGTAGTGCCAGGGCAAAAACTTCCATGTGAAGTTTTTACTGTTGTGTTGTCAAATTTATGTGTGTTCTATGTTCCTTCATTTACTGACCAGTGTACTTTGCTTGCTGACTGCTAAACTGTGCCGTTGCCACTCGGCGCTCAGGAACTACAGTAGTTTCTGCTCCTCTTTTAGGGCTATCGGCAGTTTTGCATTTGTTTTCTTTCCTCCAATATGATTTTTCTCCTAGATTTTTTTTTAATATCTTTTTGATAATATACTTGTGTTTTTCACACTTCTTTTCTGGCTTTTATCCTAGGTTTTGATGAGTGGGGTTGGTTTTTTTCCCTCTCTGCCTTTTAAGCACAGCTACAAATGCAGCCAGGAGCTTTTGATGCTGATCTATTGCTCATTTGTGAGCTGCTCTGTGGTGGTAACAGATAGTGGGTATCTGTAACCCAGGGTGCAGCTGAGCAGGTGGTTGACAAATTGATCAGGAACAGCTGCCTGGAAGCCTGACTCAATAATAAATGCTTTATGACCAGTTAGTTAGGCTGTTTAAGAGAAATAGAAAATACGAAAAATGAACGGCAGCGCTTTTCTTCTTTTTCTTGATCAAATTAGCTCAGCTGTTCTAGGTGGATCAAAAAGCCTTTTGAGCATTCGGGTCCTTCTTTCAGTCACCTTCAAGTCATGTGACAGAACAATTTCCACAAAGCTTGTCTGTTTTATATAGTCATATCAGTTAATCTAAGAAGAAATAATGTTTCTCCCCACAAAGCCCTTCTCACTCATACCCTTACATTGTCCAAGTTATAATTATAATAATAATAATAATGCTATTTCTGACTCTTATGTGCAGCTACTTCAAGGGCACATTTGATAGAAAGGTGTTGTGTTAGTGAAAATCAGGATGCAGGAGGAGAATCTCAGCTCACACAAGCAGTCAAAAGAATTTGCTGTCCTAAAGTAGTGTGAATTTGCAATAGCAACCAGTTTCAAGGTGCATTGAATTATTTATTTTCACTGGCTTTAGTGGATTTTGTGTGAGGCTGTTGTGAAACTGTTTTCCACTAGAACAGGAGGGAAGGTCTAGGGATGTCTTTGCTAAGCAAGGGAATCATTACAGCAGTTCTTATTGCTGTAATGCTGTAATTAACTCCTTGGAAGAACAAGGAAGACAATAATTTTGGCAATTTCATGCAGCAGCATTGTTTTCCGTACAACAGTTCTATCATGTTCCCAGACTGTGGTTGGGTGCAATCATGCATCCTATCATCTCAACATGAGCTTTATAAAATTACTCACCGTGATGAACAGCGTTAGTGGTAATAGAGTCAATGTAGCTTTCATTGAATCCCTGTAGTTAAAGGCGAAAGGTATTTGTTGTGAATCCTGAGGATGTTACTTTAGCATATAACTATGTGACAGGAAGAGAGATTTCTAGGAGCTACAGTAAAAGTTGAAGACTTTTAGTCCTCAGCTGTTTTCTTCAGTTACTGTTCTTGGAGGAAATAATAAGCACTGGTCAAACAAATGTATCTAGAATTTTTATTTACTGCAGATTCTCTAGGTTCTGCAAAATCCTTCAGGTTTTGTATGAGGCACATTGCAGACCCCATTAACTTTACGTAAGTTATTTTGGGTTGATTCATACTGATATTGTCCTCCCTTGAAACTTGGTTTCTTTACACATTAAAAAAAAAAAAAAAATAGAGGGTGCTGGCTGCATATGACTAAAGTTATTTTCAGGAGATTTATTTTATAAAAAATACTGCTTTCCTGATAAAATCATACTTGCACTTTAATATAAGGACAAGAGGACATTGAGCCTGATGTCATAAGGCTGAGGTGTCCATTGCAATGACCAGGAGGAAGTTTTACCTTTCATCAACATTATGCCATTGACTACATATCCACAAGTGTTACTGTGTCCTCCTCTAAGTCTTTCCACTGGCAGAGATTGACCATTGCACTTGGTGGGACCCACTATCTTCGAACAATTCACATTTCCAACAATTCAAGTTAGGGTTAAGTTGAAAGAGGAAAGGTAACAGCGATGCTTCTGTCACAGCAGCTGTGGTGGTGTCTGCTGTTGCAGAGTGGAAATAGGAAGAACTACTTAAAACTAGGCAAGCAGCTCTTGGGTCTTTTTTTTTATTTTTTTAAGTAACACTGTTGATAGTTTCTCCTCAGCAGCTGAGGGCCTTCTCCTCTTTCCATTAGTTGAGCCATCGGTGCTTCTGTGTCAAAGCTCGTTAGAAAGAGCAAGGGCTAACATATTCCCTCTAGCTTCTGGTAGCTCAGTGCAGATTGCGGAAATCTGCCCTTCCAGCCCTGAGATATTCTGAATCTGTAGAAGTTCACGACTTAGTAAATGAAACTTTTGAGCTGCTCACCTCATCAACTCCATCTTCTCCGGTCTGGCTTCGTTTCTGCTGCCCTTTTGCGAAATTTCCCTCTTAGCAATATAGACAAGTGCTCTTTCTGCCTGGTCTTGTCTTTCTTACAGCATAAGGAAAAAAATAAGATCCTGCTATTGGAATATTCTCCATAATTTCTTTCATTTTACTTGCAAAGCCTTGTGTTCAATCCTGCTACTTCTATGCTATCTGATCCTTATTGTTTGAAGTATTAGGTAGTAAATACTGCCATCAGTAACTTTGTTGGTCTCAATGCCTGCCTTTTAAGTCTCTCAAAAGAAAACAAGACTGTATGAGTGAAGAAATCAAATAGTGTGTGAAAACAAAAGTGGCCGATTGCTTTTAAGGATCTTTATAGCTGTTAATGTGGTATTAAAGCTAAAAGCCAGTGGAATCCTGCTGTAAAAGTTACTTTGTTCAAATTCCCACACAGGCTCTTTCACCTCATTTCTGCAACAAATGTGTTGATATTCCAGAATTGAAGACTCTTCAAAAGCTTTAGACTTCCCAAAATTAAGAGTTAGGAGTATAAAGAGGAGACTAAAGCAAAACCATTTTTCTTTTTTGAAGAAGCTGTCTGAGGGTACTCTTCAACCGAAGTAACATAATTCTGGTCCATTTATAAAACAGCAGTCCCTCCCCAAGTGGATAGCCCAATATTTCCTGAAAATCTGGAAGAGGAGGGTCGCAAGAGTAGCATTTCTATAATGAAAAGTAAGGTGATAGAGAAGATTGGATGCTCTTGTGAATCTGTACTGCAAGTCCTTTAAATGTCTTTGTTCATTCCTACAGCCGTGGTTGTAGTTGACTCTGTGTCCCTAATATGCACATGTTCACAAACTTTTGTTAATGGTGCCTATAAATACATCTCTTTCAATGTATTCAGGGCTACAACTGTTCGTTACAAAGGCAGAAACCTTCGTATTAAAGCTCCGATGTGCAGGGCTTTGAAGAAACTCTGTGATCCAGATGGTAAGTAAGAGACACTGGAAGGGTTTTGCCAGATGGTCAGAAAAATATGAGAGAGAGTAGGCCTATTTTGATGTGTACATCACTAGCAGAGGAGTTTGTGCTGTTTCACATTTGTCGGGCACAGATAGGTCCCTATTGTCTTACTTATCCTGTTTGCTTGTATAATCCCAGTAACTTTAGGACCCACCCAGCTCTCTAAGTCTTGGAGTATGTCACTAGCTACATTGGGAAGGAAATAGCTACACCAGACAAGATCACTACTGCTGTACCAGTTGTGCTTTCAGTATATGCGAAGTTTAGCCCCTTGTGCCAGTGTTAAGCAGTAGTATGTTGTTTAGCATTGAGCATTTTAGACTTTTTTTTGACTTTCTCCAATTCAGCTATGTGTGACTTTTTTAATTATTTTTTTTCCCTTCCTCTTCCTTCCCCTCAATAAGTAGAATCAGTGCAGTTTAAAGATCTGAAATACGGTACTTGTTCGAAGTTTCGAGACATCTGATTTTGACACTGCTTGCTCAGCTGGAAGCTCCAGTACCACTGCAGTGCCCAAGGAAAAAAATAAACATATTGGAACAGGAGGTAGTCTGAGGAAGTAGGCTCCGCTGGTGAAGCTGAGCTGCCTAAGTTGTCTGTAGGTGACGCTGATGTCTGTGATGCTTTTTTTCACGTAACTGAGCATATAGTGTTCTGACTGAGTTTCCTTGCTTTGACCCTTGCCCTTTGTGCTTCATCTCCCTTCAGGTGTTAGTGATGAAGAGGACCAGAAGCCAGTACGTCTTCCTCTCAAGGTCCCTGTGGAGTTGCAGCCAAGAAATAATCATGCATGGGCTCGAGTACAGAGCCTTGCCCAGAATCCACGGCTTAGGTAATAAAGAACTGATTGTGATGCTCAGAATAGAGTAGGGAAATACATGAACAGCATTCTAGCATCTTCCTCTCTCTTCAAGGTTCTCTTTGCCAACTGGGCAGTTCATCTTTGATAATGCAGTTTGCCTAAATGTACTTTTCTGGAGGCTTTGTCCGACCAGAGTACATGACTGTTGTAAACACATCAGACTTGAAAATTAGATTATCATTGTTCTTTATATCTTTTAATTTGAGTAATGATAGGAACTACTAGAGTTGAAGATGAATATACTTCATGTCACTAAAACCCAGTTGTCAGAGCAGAGTGCAAATAAAATGGAGATGTGCAGCACTAGTTCTACTAAAATTTGTGTTGGCCTGTACCATGAGACAGAGGCACAAGGGAGAGAAGTAAAATGATGTTCGGGGTGCCTGCACCAAGACTCTCAACTGCCAACCCCAACACAGTTATACTAGCAGAAAGGAAGGCATTTGTAGCTTAATCTCCTTCCTGCAAAATGTAGTCAATGCTGTTGTTTCAGTGTCATCAGTGGCTGTTCATTGTAGTACTTACCTCTAGTCCAAAACTTGGCAGAAAAAACAGGGGACTCTGTGATGTTGGTTGGTCTTTCAAATAGTGTACTTCAGTAAAACGACCAAACATCGTGCAGAGAGGAGAATGAAGATCTTCAGCGTTAGGTTTATTGTATAAAATACTTTGAGAGCAAAAAGTAAATGTTTGGGGGGGTTTTTGTGCCCCTTTTTCTTTCTATACTTCATGTGGTAGCTTTGTGCCTTGCCTGCACTTCTGCAGTTTAACTAAATCTTGTCATCTTTTCCTATCTTCTTCTTCCATCTGTAGAAACTAGTATCTTGAATCATGGCAGTCAGATATATCATTATCTTTCTCAGTTGTGAGTTATCTGGATTTTAAAGTTGCGGGATAACATAGGTTTTTGGTTTTCTTGGGTTTTTTTCTTCAAGCTTGGGAGTGGTAGGTGTGTTCTCTGTGCTTGTATTACAGAATGCCCGTTTCTTCCCTTAATTCCAGTTCTAGCATCAAGGCTGTGATTTGAACTTCTGCTGACATTTTTTCTCTGTTCCCTTGCTTTGTTTATCTTGCATACAGGATGATTGTGGAGTTACATCGGAAGGTCTCCAGCCTCATAGAGTTCCTGAAGCAGAAGTGGGCCCTCCATGAAGTGCGTATTGTATCCTCTTTCTGCTTAGTCTGTTCTGTATGCTGTGCCCTGTGAGCAATTCCCTTCCAATTCTAAATTCATTTTTGCATGAGAAGTGTGATTCTACCTCATAACTTTACCAGCCTGTGCTTAGTAAATATAGAGTTCAGGATCTCAGCATCACTAAGGGAACCTTTTATGGGAAATCCCATAATATTCCACTTTTACCTCAACTCTTCTGTGCTATGATCCCCTGAAAAGCTAGTTGGTAATAAATGAAGCTCCCTGCCTTTATTTAATGTCACTAGAAAACAGTCTGTTTCATTGTAGATGGGTGACCACCATAGAAGCCTGGATAATAACTGATGATTTTTTTCCAGTTTCAGCAAAGATTAAGGACAGATCTTCCTACTGCTTTATGCAGTTTCACCAAGTGAAAGCTTAAGCTTCTTGTCTAGGTGGCTGCTGCTGTCTGTTATTTATCTGTGTGCTGTCTGAGCCATACAACGTAAGAGATATCCCTAGCTCTGAACTTTGATCCATGGAGTAGAAGGTTTTGTGAGTTAACAGCCGTTCTGTTTGCCTGTTGACTGGTATGCTATATCCTGTTCTTAGTCCTTTAATTCGGGCTTTTCTTTTGAATTTGTGAGCCTGGAGGAAGTAGCAGCATAGCACTTGAAACTTAGAAGGATGTCAAAACATGTAAGGTGGAGGTTACTGCACAGAAAGGGGTATCTGTGTTGCTGTGCAGTGACGTTGCAGTGTTTTTGCTTGGTTTTGTTGGGATTTGTTAGTTCGTTGGGGTTTTTTTACAATTACAATGATGTATGAAGCAGAGATGAGTAATTTTGTGTGGAACAGAGATTTAGTATTGTGCTTATAGCAGGTCTTCAGGGTAGTCCTTATCACCTCAAAAAGACTTAATACCTAATCATAGAGTCTTCATATCTATGCTGAACAGAGAACATGTCCTTGATGGGCTGTTGGTTTGGGTTTGTTTTTTTTTACTTGCAAAATAGGCTACCAGGTCCTTGTTTGGAAGGGGCAGATGATTGTTGTATTCTTTGACACATCTTTTTTAGCGTAAAACACTAGAAGAACGGCAGCTTCAAGACTCTAGAGACTCAGAAACAAGAGGCAGCTTCTCAGAGGAGAAAGTGATGCTCCATCTCTTTCCAGGAGAGAATTGTACCCTCACTCCGCTGCCAGGGGTAGCCAGAGTGGTGCACTCCAAGGCTTTCTGCACAGTGCATTGGCAGGAAACTGGCAAATGCAAACAGAACACAAAAGACTCTCACTTACTGCCCCCTGCACAAATCCTAGGGATACAGAGTGGTCAGGGGACAGCAAGGGGACAGCTAAAATACACGCGGGGAACAGAAGGTAAGGGTGTTGGAAGGGCAGAGAGCACTACAGAGTCAAGCAGAACCTCTCAGCATGCAGCTGAAGTTTCTGCAAGCACTGAAGATGGCAGCCCAGAGCCTGGCCTGGTAGAAGGAACAGCCTCAAGTCTTGGCATCGCTAGTTGTCTCCAAAAACCACCTTCTGGACTTCAAGATCCAGGAGGGAACCATGAAAAGCTGAGCTCGGTGGCCTTCTGTGTGGAGGGCAGGGAGGCCCTGGCTAGTGACCAAGCAGCTGTGCTACCATCATGCACCACAGCTTGTGCTTGCAGTAAGATTCCTGATGTGGAGGAGCTCTCTCTGCTCGATCCATTCCCACGGTACATGAAGTCCTGTCAGGACCTGATCGTCCCAGAGAAATGTTCTTGCACAGACAAACTGCATGGGAGAGACTCTACTCCAGCAGCTGATGATTCTTCTCCTGTGGCTTTTCCAAGTGGGAGGAGCACGGAGACGTCTGACTCCTGTTCACAGCTACTGAGAGGTGGTGTGGCTTCACCTGGCAGTGGCCCATCCAGATACGAAACTCAGGCTAGCCACAGCCAGGGCCAGCAGCTTGATGCTTGTACCAAGGATATAACAGATGCAGTAATGGAGGATTCTCAAGAGAAGCTGGGCTCCTCATTTCCACCTCCACCTCAGGGACAATCTAGTACAAAGTCTCTCAAGGATGACCCAAGCCGGCTCTCTCAACAGGTTAGAGAAGAAGGATGGAGTCTACGAACTTCTGAGAGCCTTACGCTGGCTGAAGTCTACCTCATGATGGGCAAACCGAACAAGTTGCAGCTGGAATATGACTGGCTGGCTGTCTTGGAGCCAGAAACCCAGGATGCTAGGGAGCAAACATCTGAGTCAAGTGCTGTTCCTGCATGTACCACCTTTCACAAGCAGAGACTCCTAAACTGCCTTTTAAAACTCATCTCTACTGAAGTCAATCCCAAACCAGTAAGTAGCTCTTGTTCATGCTCCAGATGCTAAACTCTTCTTTGTTCTGGGAATTGCCCAGTTATGTTTTCATAGTAAATCAATGACCAGCCTTGTCAAGATCTTGGAGATTCCCAAAACCCAAACCCAACAACAACAAAAAAACCCTAACAAACAACAAAACGAACAAACCCCAACAGAATCCAGCTTGCTACAGAGTGGACTTTTCCTCAATACGCTGTGTTTGCTTTTTACACTACCTTTTAGTTTCTGGTTTGCTGTGAGTCTCAATGGTATTACAGCGAACACTTAATGTGACTACGAAAAGATCTGTCAGGAGGTTAGGTTAGGTAGGTGCCTTCTGTTCTCTCTCAGGTTCATAGCACCATAGAACAGCCCAGGTTGGAAGGGACCTTGGAAGATCACCTGGTCCAACCTTTTGTGGGAAATGAAGTCTAGATGACAAAGGGAGAGATTAATATTCTAGGTGAAAACTGCAACCTTTAATTTCTAATGTTTATGTAGTTCGAGTTACACTAAGTGTAAGTCTGAAAAGAATTTATTTCTTTGGGATAGCATAGCCAGTATAATTGCACCTGACACAGTGGGTTTTGTAGACGTTCCCAGACTCTAGGGTAGTTGTTCAGCAGACAACTGGGAATGAACTTGCTTTCCTTCTTGTGGATTGTAACCAATGTTTAAGATCTGCCCCTATGATACCTAGGCAGCTATTTCCACCTAGAGCAACCAGTTGAAACTTAGTAAAACATCCTTTAAAGACCAAAAAGACACTGAATTCAACAGACCTGACTGAATGCCTGTGGTGGAGATACAATGAGTTAAAAGATACCATTTACATCATATTCCCAAACACACATAGTTCTTTGATCTTTCTTTGTTGGTGCAGACTTAACCACCCTCAAAGCTCCCTTTGATCCTGGTTTTTATAGACATAGAATGTAGAATTTTATAAATTTAAAACCATCTTTGCTCAGATACAGCTCCAGATACAGACTTTGTTTAAACTGTGAAGACTTTTGGTCTGACATCTCATGAATTTGTGACAATGTTGCCTCTTTTTGTATCTACTTTTACTTCTGGTGACACACGTGACAGCCAGGGATGACATGATTAAGCAATCACAAACTAGAAAGTCTAGTTTCCTTAGACTTGGGGGGAGGATAGAAGAGGAAGGGGAAAAAACCCAGCAGTTACTATTTGCAAGTGTTTTCCTGTCACTTTGGTGCTCTCGGTGTCCTAGTGAAAGTAGTGTAGCACCACTGAAAAATAAAGGAGCGTTTTCAGATATATACCATATTGTACATTCCAATAAAAAGAAGTAATCTAACCTTTTATTTTTTGTCAAATTCCACTTTATACTTACTGTGTTTCAGAAAAAGAGACACTTTTCTTGCGGCAATGAATGTTGTGGGGCTGATACATATTCAAGAGGCAAGAATGATACTTACTGACTAATTGAAAGTACTGTAGACTTTTTGAAAGTTTTCTCTCTTAAATCCTCTGCATTTCATCAAATAATGACAGGGTACTTTAACAGAGGAAGGATTGATTGCCTGATCCCTGCTGTTTTCTCAAGACAGTATGTAACAAAGCCAAATTGCCAACTGTGCTGTGGTTCGTTCCTTTAAATGGAGATTACCATCGTAAAACAAACTGTAGCAAATTGCATTGCGGTCAAGTGTGAATGATAATTTTATGCCTGTGGTTGCACACAGATTCCTTAAAAAGGGAGCATTTAAACAACTTAATGAAATAACTGGATAGGCCTGGAAAATTAGTAAAGCACCTTGCCATGTGCTTCTTGTTGTTGCTGTATTACAGTATGAAATAGGAGAAGGGATGGGAAAACTTCAAAACTATCGGTGTCTACTTGATTAGAATTAAGAGCAAAATATTTTTTTGTCCATGTATACTTCCAACCAGAGGAGCCCTCTGGATGGTTAGAGATTATGAAAATTGGTTTTGTAGTGGATTAACTCGATTGTAACATAAATTAATGATATTGAACCGATGACATTTAACACTGCTAAAATGCACAGGAAGGGAATTTCAGCTGCCCACCACACACACACACACACACACACACAAAGGTATTGGTTAGAGTACTTAAAGATACTGTTGTATGTCAGATTTTATTTATTTTTTGCTAAGCTTCCTAAGTAGAACAAGTTTAACAATATGTTTGTTGTAACAGTGCACAGTATTCATCTAATGTGCATGCATTTCTAGATGCCCGAGATGAGCTCTGTTGCCACGTCACCTATAAAGCCTGCTCAAGAGGAACAGTCACTGACTCCTCCGGGAAAGGTGATTGCCATCAGCACCAGGAGTCCTGGCTGTGCACGAAATCAATCTGCCCTTCGCAACAACAAGACTTTTTCTCCTGGTGCTGCTTCCAGCTCCTCAGGTTAGTATTGATAAAAATGCATTTCAAGAGATCAGACCATTAGTACCTCATCCCAGTAATGTAACACTGGGAGAATGAGCATTCTTACTCTTACAAACCTAACTGTTTAAGAACATTGGTGTGCGTTAATTTGCATTAGAGTTGTCCTAAATTCTTCTTGAAAAACAATGCCTGTCAATAATACAGTTTGCAATCCAGAACTCTCACAAGTCCCTCTTACAGAAAATGCTGGCATTTGTTAGGAGCTGACTGATACAGGGTATGGGATCTCAAGAGAGTGAAGGCTTACACTAAAGAGGAGACTAAATACATGGTGTAAAGTTTGTTGATACAATAATTACTGAAAAATTCTTGTGCTATTCTGCTGTTGTGAAATATGTAAGGATTATGAGTTACGTTTTCTTTTAATAGAAGGTACAGCTGCTATAACTTGAGCCCTAGCCGTGCAGACCAAGAATTTCAGTGCTGTTCTTCAGTCTAGTTGCATTTGCCAGCAAATGTTTATGACTTCAGAAAAGTCTGTGAAGGCGTCAGGTTTACTGGGAACAATTGTGATTCCTATGCTGTCCTTTTCACACCTGTGCTGTAAGAAGTGATGGACCATGAGCAATTTAACTGATGCTCTAAAACATGTGGTGCTGTGTGGTTTTCATTTTAAAATGGCATTATAGCCATTTCATCTTCATATAAAGCTTCGTTGCACTTACTGGCAGACAAAGGTGTACTTACATATCTAGTAAAAAGCCAATAATTTTATAGATCAAACAAATAAATTGTTACATTTCAGTGAGATACACAGGCTTGAAGGATGTATCTTTTTAAATCAGACATGCAAGTAGAATCAAACTTCCTTAGTTTGCGACGTTCATTTTTATGAGATTGTACTTTATGATTCCCCAATGCCTTCAAAATCCTTTTTGAAGTGTTTTAAGTAAGGGTAAGGACCATCTGCTGAGGATATCCGGCAGAAACAGCAAGAAGACAACAATACTTCGTGTCAGATTGCCTAGGAACAGACCCCTGTGCTGTTTACATAGAGCTTCATTGATTCGAAACCAAATACAATTGTCCGTGTTAGTCTTCAGTTTGCATCACTGAATTGCAAGCAGGTTGTGCAGCCTGAGGGTTTAACACACGAACTATGAAGCAGCATGTAGTCTTTAGTGCAAAGTCAGGAAGTGAAAAACATGGACTGTGTGTTCCTGCTTTTGTGCACGACCAAGGATAGCCAGGCTGGCTTCAGCCAAGCTGTTTGGCTTGAACAGAGGAGCAGTAAGAGTGTGTTCAGTACAACATTCTACTGGTTGATCAGTTTAGCTTCTCAGCGGTCCTGCCTGGGGCAATGCACTCGGCTTAGGCCTCAGGTAGTGGCGTTCCAGCATGTCAAACGGATACCCAGGCCAGCCTGATATCTTCCCACTAAGTTGTGTTGGTTTGGTAGACAAAGTGAATCCCTTTTATCAGCCCCAGGAAGGGTGTTCTGGATCTAAACTAGGATTGATGGTGGTCTGGATTGCAGCTTTTAGTGTACAGTAATTATCAAGCTTCTTTGTATCCTCACATGCAGTGCTATTAAATGATGGCAGTAATTTGGCTTTCAGAAAGCAAACTGCTAGGTTGCTTTTGGTAACCAGCCTTCTGGGTGCATTCCCTGATAGACTGAGTCCGTCTAGGTGCTAGCTGCATTTATTTTTTTGTCTTTTTGGGTGTTTTTAATTAAAGATAAATTGATTTAGCCTTCTCAGGAGAAAATAAAGATTAGAAGATAGCCCGTGTCCACTGCAGAAGTACTGAAGCGTTGGCAAACTGACAGCTCCACAAAAGCCACCCAGCTAGCTGGAGAGACTAAAAAGAGGATAAAGGCTATCACTCAAAGAGATTTAGAAAAAGTGAAGCAACAGTTGTGATGCAACATCATCTATTGTGCTTAAAATATCACAACATAATTATAGTTGCATGTCCTTATTGCTTTTTTTAAATATGTATTATTTTTAACAATTCTCTCTAACTCCTGGTCAGGCAGGAGGCACAAATTTATGTTGTTCTGCTTTAACTGCTTTTTAGATACATTGGCACTCTGTAATCTTAACTAACCTTTGGAAAACCAGCAGAATCTAGAGCAGCAATTTCGTCTTTTAAATAGGACGATAATAAACCCTGCAGGCTTATTTGTTAGCTAAATAAAGTTTGGTGTTCTTCAAAGTGCTTCTTGAATACTGCTGCGTATACCCATCTCTGCATTAGTGTGGCCCAAGCTCGTGCTGTGTTCTGTTCCTGCCCAGGGAGGTAGCAGACACGACTAAGAACTGTTGCCTGCTTTGCCTCTTTCCCCTCTGGGTGTCAGGTGCCTGCTGCCTCCAGCTGAGATCTCCAGCCCAGCAGTGGAGGCTGCAGTACCAGGACAAGTGTGGGTGCAGTGTGAAAATAGCCGTTACTGACTATCGTAATGAAACCTGGTGTTGTGTATGTAGTGAGCGCTTCTGCGGAAGAGAGGCAGGTACACTTCTTGGTTCTCTCAGAGTGACATGCTAGCAATGCTGGTTTTCATCCTAGCTGGATGCCAGCAGAGTGGGCACAGCACTGTGAAATCCTACAATATTTTTTAAAGTTAAATGTAAAGGGAGAAGTTTTACTCGGAACAGAGGCCATTATTTCAATGTGACAAATTTGTATTTCTAAGACAACCCATCTTTTGGGAGGTATGTTGGTAAATTGGTCTCTGCTCTTTCATTTCTCTGTCACTTACAATCATTTTATTGGGGTTGCGCTTTGAATTACCATGGGGAAGGGCTGGGGGGTGGGTAGTGTAAATAAAACGTAAACATTATAGGATGAGTCTGTGTTTATCCTGGAAGATAATGGAATGGTGGCTATATAGTTTGTTTAGTGGGAAGGGCTCTCAAGTGTTTCTACAAGCCGAATAGATAAATTAGTTAACACAGTCTGTGTGGGGCTTATAACTGGGTACATAAATTCTAGTTTCTTTAGTGGCATAAAATTGTATTTAACCCTGTTTTTCAAAGGATTTCAAAGCAAGAGAATGTTTGCAGAATCCTTGTGAAGTAGGTAAATACTGTCAATTTGCAGGTGGGAAAACTGAAGTATCAACAGTTTCATGGTTTGCGATCACAAATGGTGTCAGAGCCAGAATCCATAAGCCCAGCTCTCTCTGTAGGATCCTTCAGTTACTAAATAGTTACTTTCTTTTGTTTTCACTTTACTTCATTTAAATTGCTGTTAAAAATTGTCTAGGTTTGAGAAATCTCCCTAGACCTCTCTTGGTGGCTGGTCCTTCAAGTTCTGGAAGCGCTGATGCTGATGGTGGACTCTTCGCTGTTCCTACAACTCTGCCACCCAACAGCCGCCATGGGAAACTGTTCTTGCCTAGCAAAGAAGCAGAACTGACCTTCCGGCAGCACTTAGACACAATCAGTGTAAGTGAGATGACTGAGTGAAAGAAGTAGCATATTGTGCCTGAGCCAGCTTCCCGTAGGTATTACGGGCATTTTTTGGTTCATCAGAAAGTATGGGCTTTCCTATGAAACAGTGCTTCTAGTGGTGCTCAGGCATAACAGTGTATTAGCTGAGATTAGTCAGATTTTGACTATATAACCGTGCTTTGAAGTGACATTGCCTCTTCAGACCTGATTCTGAATGCCATCACGCAGCCCGATGAAACTGGTTCACTCTCTAATTAAGTTCCTTCAGCAAATATATTTGCCAGGTTTAGCAAACTTGATATCCTTCTTACCGTGCAGCTAATCTTAATACAATCTCATTGCTGTATTTGATTGAAATACCCAATTTATATATACAATCTCTCAGTAACAACATCATAGCAAGCTACAGGAGTTAAGTAGTGAAATGGCTTTTTTGGGAGAAGGCTTTGTCTCCATAAAACAAGAAGCAGCAAAATACATTCCTGGTGGAAAATTTTCCTACTCTAGCAGAAAGAATATTGTGCTGTCTGAAACAAATACAGGATTTTAATAAATAGTTAGAACTTTATTGACAAACAGAGTTTTTGGGGTATAGTTTATTCTGTGTCTGCATGCTTAAAATACTTCCTAATGCATTTCTTGTTCTTGTCCAGATGCAGTCGGACTTCTTCTTGCCAAAGCCAAGGAAGTTACGGAACAGGCACTTGCGGAAGCCGTTAGTAGTACAGGTCAGAACGATTTGCAAAGTGTGAAACACCTGTTTGGCTTCCTGAATAGATGTCAGAAAGGCTATAATGATTTGCACCTAACTAAAATTAAAAAAATGAACTTCCGTCATACATCCACTGTAAAAGTGAAGCTGAACATAGGAGGGAACAAGCATTTTAGTCTATATTGTAACCAACCATGTTATATTCCCTATGTGAGGTATGTCAGCAACAGTAGCAGTCCAGTGCATGAGGTAGTTTGGAAAAAAAAAAAAAAA